TAAATCTTATGAAGTAAACCAGGTTTATTTTATCTATCTATCTATCTATATCTATATATATATATATATATATATATATATATATATATATATATATATATATATATATATATATATATATATATATATATATATATATATATATATATATATATATATATATATATATATATATATATATATATATATAGTTTTTCGTTTTATTTCAAAAAACCACAACAGTCTGTTTCATCCGTATAGGAATCATCATGCAGGTGGTGAGTAAATTGTAGGTTGCTTTTATGCTATCGAAAGAATGTGCTGAATGCGTGTAGGCGAAACAATGCTTAGGCGAAACAATGCATGCTTGGGTCATTAGGTTTTGTTAACGACCTTGTTTACTCGAAACCGGTTTTTGTGACGACATTTGCCTAGAATTTCGCTTCTTTTATTAAGTATATTGTCTTTGTTTATGTCTTTCAAAATGCAACGAGTAATGCAAAACGAATAAACCAGGTCGTTAGCAGAACCTAATGACCCAAGCATGCATTGTTTCGCCTCAGCATTGTTTCGCCTACACGCATTCCGCACATTCTTTCGATACCATAAAAGCAACCTACAATTTCGAAATTACTCACCACCTGATGATTTCTATACGGATGAAACAGACTGCTGTGGTTTTTTTAGGTAAAACGAAAAACTATATTACGCTCTATCTATATGGTATTGAGCACTGTTTGTGTTTCGTAAACCAAAATCTTAAGCTATATATATATATATATATATATAATTCATTTCCTGATGATAACGTCGAAATATATTATATATATATATATAATTCATTTCCTGATGATAACGTCGAAATATATTATATATATATATATATATATATATATATATATATATATATATATATATATATATATATATATATATATATATATATATATATATATATATATATATATATATATATTAAGGTGAAAATGTTCTCGAGTGTGTATTATATAATTTCCATACCCAGCGTTAGCAGAAAGATAAAGTCTGCCGCGCCTGGGTCTTGAACCCGCGACCTTCGAATTACCAGATCGACGCTCTACCAACTGAGCTACACGGTCAGGCGGATTAAAGACTGGAAATTATGAAATAAATCTTAAATCCGTCTGACCGTGTAGCTCAGTTGGTAGAGCGTCGATCTAGTAATTCGAAGGTTGCGGGTTCAAGACCCAGCCGCGGCAGACTTTATCTTTCTGCTTACGCTGGGTATGGAAATTATATAATACACACTCGAGAACATTTTCATCTTCTTTCTGCTTACGCTGGGTATGGAAATTATATAATACACACTCGAGAACATTTTCATCTTAATATATATATATATATCTATATATATATATATCTATATATATATATATATATATATATATATATATATATATATATATATATATATATATATATATATATATATAAAAATATATATATATATATATATATATATATATATATATATATATATATATATATATATATATATATATATATATATACCAAATATATATATATAGTATATATATTCTTGGTATGTGGAAGCTCATCATCGGTGCAGTATATTCTTGGTATGTGGAAGCTCATCATCGGTGCACTGTGCTGATGAGTATATATATATATATATATATATATATATATATATACCAAATATATATATATAGTATATATATTCTTGGTATGTGGAAGCTCATCATCGGTGCACTGTGCTGATGAGCCCCACAAAGGGCGAAACAGCTGTCCACTGTTGCCGTTGTTTGAGCTCTCCTTGAAGGGCGCTACAATGTCTTTACTTATGTGCGTTATCGCCGTTTTTAATTTAAACTGTGAAATGCAGTGAGCGTGCCCAATAAGTACTTATTATGAAAGTGAAGAAAACTGAATGCCTGAACAAACGCTCTGACTTGTTTTCCAAATGTAGACATGTAACCAGAAACCTGCTTAATCAAGTTGTAAAATGATAACCTATATTTTTTATGAATATTGAATAATATCTGTCAGTTGCCTGATGATCGCGTAAAGCGTGAAACTCAGAGTAGCGACGCAAACATTCAAACCTTGACTGAATTATATATATTATTATATTCTATTCTATATATTATTAGAATTGTATCATGAGCTCGAGTCGTATATGAGCTGATTGCCGACGAGTCGGCTATTAGCCATATACGACGAGAGCGAATGGTATGATTGTTTTATAATGTAGTCTAATAGCCATTAACTGAAGCAATAATTAATTATCGTCTGACAGTCTGTGACAATGTCTTGACAATTTGTTCGGCCAAAAACCGCTTGGCCTCGAAAATTTGAAATACTTTTGTTTTACAACTCGAAGACGAGGTGAAAGAAATTGTTTTAGAACCGGTATATCTCACAGAAAAGCTCAGATATATTATAGAGATGTTTGGTAGTATAGTAAGTGCTTGTTCACTGCAAATTCATTTGCCTTTCGTTGCAAACTTTTCTGAACAATTTATATTCTCAAAGAACATGTTTTTTCGCTGTTGTTTCGGTATTAATTCTTTTAAAAGCTTGTATTTAAACTAATTTCTATGTAATAAATGTGCTTTGCTAACCTGCCAAATTTTTTTGAGAGTTTTTCCCCGTACTATTATCTTTCTCAAAGCGAATATTTTCCTTTTTTCTGCTTCGCAAAACTCATGTAGTTTTTGGATCGTCATCTTGTTTTTCGCTACTCGCCGAATATGAGCTGATATACGGCGAGTAATTCAACCAATCAGATTGCAGAACAGCTCATATACGGTGAATGACTATATTATAAACATATATATATAGAATTAGGTTTCGTTGTTTACAAAAATATTTGGCAGAGTGCTCAATAGATATCCAGAGCATAACGAAATATTAAGTGCAACGACTCAACAAATTCCACTAGAAATATTATATATATATATATATATATATATATATATATATATATATATATATATATATATATATATATATATATATATATATATATATATATATATATATATATATATATATATATATATATATATATATATATATTCAACATGTTGAATAATTTCCCCCAAGTGTGCGCGCTCGAAATGCTATCATCTTTCATTGCGTAATAAACATAAGAC